GGGTTCTATGTTCAATAAATTTGAGGAAATTCTCCGTACAATATTTCCCTCTCAAAGATTTTTCAGAGTAGTGTATTAAAGACTATGAGAAGGCTTAAAGCATAGAAACTTTTGAACCTAATTTAGCATGGCATTTTACAGAATTTTTGGCTACAGCATATGGTGTGTGTTTGTGTACATTTCATGTGACACTTTAAGAATTCCTTAGAAATTGGTGCCACAAGAACCCATGCTGGAGACCCCTACCCAGTCAACCCTGCCAGCCTGACTCCCCCTCTCACTTCCTTCTACTCACCCCTGCCCTTTCCTATCCAACATCCCGGTGCTTCCTGGGTGCTTTTTTCTAAAACAGAGATCTGCTCATGACCTGTCTTGCATGTGATATCGCTTGTAGATCCTCCCACTACCCAAAGGGTTACATTCTGGCTTCTCAGCAAGACACACCTGGAGCCCAGAACTGGATCCCTACTCTTGTCTGGTTCCCATCTGGTAATCTGCCATAATCAGGACCAGCTTCATGGATGTGTGACCTGTGTCATAGCACAGGGTCCCACACTTGTTTAATGCTCTGCTATCACCTTAATAATTTTGAACAAGGGACCCTGAGTTATCATTTTGCCCTGGGCTCATGTCCTGCCTAGAGACCCCTTCCTTTCAGACATATGCCAGCTCATTTGCACCTTTGCACATACTACTTCCTCCACCTGCAGCTCAGTCGTCACATTCCTCCCAGTTAACTTCAGTCTGGGTCAGACTCCTTTCTCTGTGTTATTGTCATGCCCTGTGCTCCCCAAAGCCCTTGCCATTCTATATGGTTCTTATCTCTTTAAGTGACTTTTTCTCACCAGAGTGTGATCTTCCTGAAGGTAGAGACTGTATGTGAACTAGTTGTGCAGTCCCAGGTATATACGAGGACTCCAATGTGCTGTGAGAGCAAGACTCAGTCTGGCAACACTTGGAGACAAGCATTCACAGTGGATGCTCCCTGACAGGAAATGGAAGTGCAGCTTTTATCTGGGAAATGACTTGCAGTTTGGACTGAGCTTGAAAAAAAGTCAGATTTTGAGTCTGAATTTGAGGCCTTCCCCATATAAATGGTGGTTATTTAAATGCATGAGGAAAGTGCTTATAAGAAGCTTATGTTTTTCTTTTGTTTGATGTATACATGTATCATAAAGTTCAACAACAATGACTGAGCACTTGTGCTGATGACTGGGTCCTAAGTGAAAAAGCCACAGCCCTTATGTTCCTAGAGCGCCTATGCTAGGGGGAAGTCCCAACGAAATCCACCTAAATGATTGAAGACAGTGACAGGCTGCCCAAATGAATGTGAATGGAAGGCTCATCTCTGGTTTGATCCAGAGTGCTTGGCACAGTTGGAAATCCATCTTGTCAAGCACCTATTTTCATTCCAAGCACACGTTTAGGCAGAAGGGCGTTCCGGATTGGAAAGCAGCAAACGACTCACAACTGATGCAGAGATAATTGCTCTGCATTTTGTGGCCTCAATGATGAATCTTGTGCTTGTTATTAAACTCTCTAGAAGGAGTAGGCATCTGTGATGGTGGTAATGGGAGCATCCATTCCCATTAGTCTCTGCAGCCCACCCGCCAAGGTGTTGGACAGGGCACAGCAGCTCTGACCGCCCTCATTTCTCACCAGCCCTTTTTTCTCCTCCAGCCTCTGCAGCTGTGCGAGCCCCTGCACTCCATTCTGTTGACCATGTGCGAGGACCAGCCTTGTAGGCGGCGACCATTGCAATCAGTTCTGGAGACTTGTCATGTTCATGAGAAAGAAGTGGCTGTCTACCCAGCCCCTGCCAGTCTCCACATTAGACGGCTGGTTGGTTTGGTTCTAGGCACCATCTCCGAGGTCAGTATAGTGCCGTGCTTTCCTGGGAAGCCACTAGCCATGTGTGACTATTGAAATAAAACTTTAATTCCTCAGTTACATCTACCATATTTCAAGTGCTCAGTTACCACATGTAGCCAGTGATTGCTCCATTGGACAGGGCAGAGCTAGAACATTCTTGCCATTGCTGTTCTACTGGGCAGTGCTGGTAAAGACCTTTGGGCAAGACCTAATTCCTACCATGACTAAGACCCTTGAGATCTTGGCAAGGGTATCTTTATGTGAAACAATCGTGTTTAAATCCCATGATTCAGTTCTCCTATCAAACTCCAACTCTAGGCCTTATACAGAAGGCTTCCCTGGCTGCCTTCACATGGTCTCCGGGTGCCCCCTACCCTCTGCTGTCTTGTACCCATGGAGGGTCCCTTGCTGCATTTGTCACACTGTGCTGCTTGCTGCCATGTGCAATTCCCAGTGCCCAGCAAGGGAACCGGCACATGGGAGGCATTTGTTTTAAGTTGAGTTCCCTCCAAGCTAACCCAGAGACAGGAATTTTCATTCAAGCTATTTATTGGGGAAATGCTCCTGGGAAAGGGAGTGATGGAAGGAAGGTAGAATGGGGACAAGCCGAGCAAGGAGATGGTTTTAGGTGGATATGGTTTCAGCCTGATCCTATGGGGAGCTCTGGTACAGGAATGGTACCAAGAATTTTGTCCTCTATGAGACCAGGGCAAGTCTAGGAAATGGTGGGATAAACAAGGCGCACATGGTACAACATGTATGGGGGATCGCGTTTGAGAAGAGCCAGTGGGAGGTGAGTTAGAGACCAGCACTTGTTAAGGGAGAAGTTGGAGAACTGAGACCGGGATTAATGAGGGACCATGTGGCTGGAGATGAGGGGACAGCTGGGTAGAATGCAGTGACAGTCAGAGAATGCCTCTCCCATTCTGACCTCCTTCTTGGACCTCTTCTTTCTTGGCATGGGAACACCTGGTTCCTATGATCGAAGCCAGAGGATTTGGTGGGGGAAGCAGGATATATTTACTGGGAAGATATTATAGTTTATCACCCATTGGCGTGCCATTGTCCTTGGATAGACACTGAGTTGATCTGCAGCATTCCATCAGGGACGCACAAAGTAGATTTCCATCATGAATTCCACATTCACTGGGGTACTGTGCCAGGTGAGCTGCAAAGATGCAAAAAGCACACAGTGATGTCGGGGGAGATGTTCAAGCAAGCAAACATCATGTCATATGGTGTCTAGAGCAGCATGGGAGTAAGTTTACAAGGGAAGGTGATCGGAGGGCAGAGATGGGAGGGACTAGACGTAGAGAGGACGTATCTCTGGGTCTTGTGGGCACAGAGGAACTCCCGGAGAGACCCTGGCCATTGCAGAGACCATGTGAGCAAATGCTCAGATGCACTTGAGTACATAGGTATGGCGCTGAGTAAATTGCCTCGAGTGTGTTGTGGGTGGGAGGCACAGAGCATATTCTGGGTGCTGAAGATTGCTTTGTTAGGCCTTCACTGTGTAGGGCAGACAATGCTACATTGACTTAGTCTGACGGCCAGTTTGCCCATATCTATAAAAATATCCCCTCCTGGCCTTGAAATGCAGATGTGTGATGCACTTGACCCTCAGGCAGAGAGAAGAGTTGTGGAAGAAAGCGCCTCTGTGCTGCAGAACAGAAGCTATCTGCTCAGGAAGAGGCTGCATGGGACAAGTCATGGGAGCCCAGCAGCACAGGCCCTTGCAGGTCCGCATCCTTGCAGAGGTGGGTACGCACCCGAGCAGGTCCTACATGGGTCAGTGACACTCGTTGTATTGTTTCCTGGCCTGTGTGGGCTACACATCCATGTTGTGATGGCAGAGAAAGTTCGTGAATGTACCACTCTTCCAGGGAGCCCCTGGAGAGAAGGGACTAAGCTTAGAACCCATCTGTGCTCACAGAAAGTCTCATTAGGGGACACAATTTAACAGTGTTCTTTATAGTAATGTAAACTTTTTAAAGATTGAGTTTTAACTAAGTTGATAAAACAAATTAAAAAAACCAAAAAGAAAGGCTTTCCTTGAATAAATTCTTTTGTTGTTGCTGTAGGTATGTTAATAGCTTTTAGAATAATCTTCAAATCTATTGTTCTCTACTTTTCAATTGAATCTGAGTTATGAAATATTTGTTATTGTTCGTTACTCCTAAACAAGGGACTCTTTGCCATTAAGCATCATTATCCTTTGTAACCTTACCCTCAACCCTCTGTAACTGTCATTTCCATTTTCTACATGAGGAAGCAGACTCAGAGAGGTTAAGTAAATTCGCCAAGGTCACACAGCTAGTAAGTCATGATGTTATCTACACTCTGGGCTACCTGATTCAAGAAAGTCGTGCTGTTGGCCTCCACCCATGTCTTCCACCATGCTGTTTGGTTAGTTTCAGAAAGAAGCACAGAAACCCAGAGCTCCCTGGAGCCCCACTCAAGTGCCTCAGCACACAGCCACTGCAGCCTCTTTGCTAACCGGTAAGCAGCAAGGTGCACAGGGCACTGTGAATTTGTGTGGAACATTGATGTGGGGGCTGCTCTATCTGCTTCTTTATAGATTATTGATGGAGCCTCTTGCTCCTCCAGAAAATTCTAGCCCTATTCCATCAGCAGGTGAAGAAGTCACATTTAAGCCAATAAAATGCCAAGGTGGTAAGGGGCCTGGTGGCAACTATGCTGTTGAGGTACCTTGTCTCCTCTGGGAACCATGTTTGGGCTCAGTGATGGAGCAACAACATGCTTCAGTGGTGTGACATCATTCATTGCCACACCAAACAACCACAAGCATAGTGGCTAAAAGATTATTTATTTAATTTGTGATTCTGTGGGTTGGCAATTGAGGCTGTGCTCCGCTGAGAGGTCTTGTAGACTCTGTTAGGGACCTTCGTACATCTGTGATTGTCTGCGGCTCAGCTAGGGAGCTTCACTCCTGGGGGGCATCTGGCTCTGTCTAGGGAGTCTTGGCCAACCCCAGGAGTCAAGATACCTAGCTGAGCTGGGATTGTTCTTGTGACAGTGGCAGAGGTGGAGTGTGGAAGGGGTGTGGGGAGAGAGAGAGAGAGAGAGAGAGAGAGAGAGAGAGAGAGAGAGAGAGAGAGAGAGAGAGAGAGAGAGAAAGAAAAGTGCACAGAGCCTTCAAACTGGTCTTCCACCATTTCCACCCCTTTCTATTGGCCACATCAAGCCTCAAAGACAACCCAGAATCAAGGGGTGGGGTGATGGACTCCATCTCTTGATGGAAGGAGGGGCAAGTCACGTTGCCAAGGAGTGCAGATCAGGGAAGTGGATTGTGATCATTGTTGCAATCATCTAACATTTGAGGGGAGACCCTAAACACCCCAGAATTTATTTACAAAAATTGTGTATTTATTCTTACTTGTTTAAACTTCAATCACCTTCAAAGTAGTCTCTGTTTGATGCAGTACACCTATCGATATGCTTTTCTCCATTGCTCAAAACCATTTTTGAGCTCATCAATTTTGTTGCTTTTTAGTGCTTCTGCTGTTTTTGTTTCACTTCTTCCACATTGGTGAAACATTTCCCTTTGAGAACTTTTTTCATCCAGGGAACCAAAAAAAGGTGCTCGGGTTGAGATTAGGTAAATGGGGGGGGGGGCATGGGGATCATACTATTTTTGGTCAAAAACTGCTGAACCCTCAGTGCAGTGTGAGCAGGTGTATTGTCATGGTGGAAGAACCAGTCACCTGTTTGCCACAGCTCAGGACATTTCTTCAGCAAATTGTGATGCAACCTTCTCAAAACTTCCAGGTAAAAACTTTAGTTGATAGTTTGATCTGGAGGAACAAATTTTGAGTGTACTACAAGGGGCTGCCCTCCAAAAGATAATTCCAGTTGTTTCTGGCTCCCCCCCCACATATGATGCTTAAAATCTGGTCAGAACCTGCATGGGCTCAAATATTCCTAGATCTGGAAACGTTGGGCATGTTGAAGTTTAGGGGATTTATTTATATATTGACTTGTTGAGGGCTCCAACAATATCTTATCTTTCCATGGTTCAGCCCACAGCTTTGACCACACTTGTGTCAAATCCACAACCAAGGCCCTGACTGCATATTGTAGAGTTCACCCCACAGTCCCTTTTCTTGCCATTTACAACTCTATTTTTCCAATGACAATAGTTCTTACCCTGATTTTACAAACAATATACAATAAGTTCCCTATTTACAAACTTTCAAGTTGCAAACTTTCAAAGATGTGAATGTGTGTTTGCATGTCTAATCGCATAAGTTAGTTCGTGTGTCCGGCCTACATTGTCACATAGGTGCATCCTCTACAAGTGGTTATGTTTTTGTGTACTTTACTATATAGTACTGTATAAAGTACAGTAGTACAGCATATTTATTTCAAGCCCAGGATGCCTGAAAGCAAGCATATAAGCAGTGGCGATTAGCTGATTCTGTATAGCTGACTGTGTTTGCTGGGTACCTAAGCTAACTTTGTTGGACTTAGGAAAAAATTGGACTTACAGACATACTCTTAGAATGGAACTCGTTCATAGGCAGGGGACTTACTGTGTTTATTGTTAAAACATTTTGAACAATTTATCAAATAGTAAGGAAAAAAGTCAGAATCCTCTATGATTGCATAATCTTCTTAGGGGGTCTCCAGATCTGAGGTCCTGGCACTGTAGGCAGAGGCAGAGCTGTGGGGTTGGAAGAAACCAACTCTGGCCTTGCATCTCCAGTCTCACCCAACCCCTACAGCTGTGCAACCTGACTCCTTTGGGCCACAGTTTCCTCACTTGAAATGTGGTTGTGATCACTACTCCATAGGCTGGGAGTGAAGGTGATATGAAGAGGTGGGTACACCTGCCCAGCTGAATGCCTACAGAGGTGGCCTTTCACTGGATGCAAGATATTACCATAGTTAAAAATGTCACTCCTTCTTGACCCCTGGCCAGTTCTATTCCAGGGGCAGATCCCCAGGACCCTCAGGAAGGCCGGCGGCTCAGCTCTGGATCTGCACACTCAGTGACAGAAAGCTCATGGCCCACGACTCCTCAAAGGGGCTTCCTGCAAAGAAAGGGCAAGGTGAGCAAAAGATGACCGAAGGACACTCCCCAAAGAGGTTTGAGCAGGGCACTGTGGGTGTCTAACAAGGTGGCTGAAATGAGCAGGGCCTTTGGGGGAGCCAGGTTCCCTGGGCTGAAGACCAACATAAACCTGAAATTCGCACCTTGGGGCATAGGTATTTACCGAGTGGCCTCACTGGGGCAGACTCTGTGGTAGATGCTGTATAGTACCTAGGACTGAAGACACCCAGTCCCACACCTCAGAAAGTCTGCAGCTATTGGTATGTTGGGCAGTAGCAGAGTGTTGGACATGGTAAGAGAGCTGGCAAGATAGAATGAACTTGGAAGGGCCTTCTGAGCAGATGAAATTCTGGAGCACAGATCTAGGACACTGGGAAGAGCTTCTTTAAAAGGAGAAAGACTTCCTTCTGGTTGGGTAAGAGGGTCATAGGGCTAGATGGAGTGTGGGCAAATACTCTTGGGAGGCCCAAGAGTATCCAGGGCAACTCACCCTAGCCTTGATGGCCAGGCTGACGGGGAAATGGATGCCAGTGCTCCTGCTGCACGCTGGGCCTCCCAGGACCCTTGACTCCTTGCAGGCAGGGTGGGCTCTATTGAGGGATGAGCTTGCTGTGTCTGTGCTGGAGGGTGAGATCTGGAAATGTCCCAGGATGCATCTTCAGTTTGGAGAGCTCTTCCTGAAACAGCCCTGTCTCCAGTTGTTGTAGCCACTTCTGGTAGTTACTAAAATGGTTTTAATAACCTCACGAACCAAGAGTGACCTTGAGAAGATCAGTGCCCCAGAGATGTGACAAGCCCCTCCCCAGGCAGTCTGTTTATTGAGAAGGCTGCCTCCCCCAGTCCTTCTGTCTCAGCATCTGAGACTCTGGTAGCATTGAATGTTCCCAGATGCTCCCACAAGGCGTTTGTCTGTCAAAGTTAGTTAAAGCCCCACAGCTAAGAGAGAGACTGAGCCGAGTCTCAAATAGCCTCAGGAAGTTCCTCCTCTTGTGTTCCCACATTCTCTGCCCAGCTGTCTTCCCAGACCAATACTCTTTACCCACCTGTATGGCTTCTGCTTTGAGATATCCAGTCCAGCAGGTGCCTCTGTCCAGTTGCAGCCCCATCTCACTGGAACCTGTTTCTTACTGGCTCTGGGGGACACATGCTGGCAGGGGTTAGGGAGGTGAGCTCATGGGGGAAAGCCCAAACCCAAAACCTAGAACCTGTCCCCTTTGCTCTACTATAAGTGACTGAGAATTTTCCTCTAGTTTTCCAGGCCAGAGTTTGTCTTGCGGGCTGGAGAGGCCCCCGTGACCCTACATCTGCCTGGATCAGTTGTGGTAACTATTGGGCTAAGCTGGGCAGGGATGGAGGGTGGTGAGGGAAGTGTCCAACTGGGCAGGCCTGAGAGGTCTACTATGCTCTGACTGAAGTCTCAGTGGGGGACCCCTGGTGGCACACTTCCTCTGGATTCCTGCCAGAGCCATGGCTGCATCCCATTCCTGCTTTTTGTGGCCTGTAAAAGGAACCCCCTGCGATTTCCAGCTGAGTCCTGCTGACCCTCCCAGACTCAGCTCAGCCTTCCTCTCCTCTTTCAGCATCTAGAAGGTGAAGTATTTAGCAGGTGCCAGGTACAATTCTAGGCCCAGATCTATGCCATGAATAAAACCTGGACCTTGCAGAATCACCCTGGGAAACTTTAAAAAACAGATTCCCTGGTCCTTGGGCCAGACTGACAGAACCATCATGAGGGTGGCCCCAGCATCTCTCAGGTGATACAGGTGTGCAGCAGGAGTAGAAACCCGGGTGGTTCAGAATGTGCCTGTGTGATTGGCTCTGCCCAGTATCACATGGAAAGCTGCTTCCCCAGGATCCTCAGATCTTCTCTGGCCTCAGGAGTGTGGGAACTGCCCCTGGGTTTTAGGAAGTTCAGGGTATGGCTGCAGGTGTGGTCTTGATGGTACTAAAGCCACACATGACAGTGTCTGTCCATATCTTCCTTCTAGGGAAGTCTGGGCAAGGCCCTGGGCTGGGGTTTGGGTCATGGGGTTTTTTAGCTCCTATGGTTAGGAAGAGCCACAGACAAGGGGTCCTGAGCCCAACCTGGAAGACCCATAGGAATTTTCTGCATGGAGAAGAGGGGGAAGAGTCTTGGGGTGGCGGGTCAAGAGTGTGCAATGATACAAGCAGAACAGCCCATGCGCTGCACAATGATGAACTGTCTGGGAGGTTGAGCCACAGTCATGGTGGTTTACATGTGGCTGTGGTGGGTGATTAACCCAGTAATAATCTGAGGAGGTGGAAGAGGCAGAAGGTAGACTCTGGGATATGTCTTTGGCTCAGAATTCGGTTGACCAATTTCTAGATTCTAAGTAATCTTCTTGCTCTTCAGGATCTGCACCTATCCAAATTATCTCTGAAGTTTAGACTTCATTAACCTGTGCTCAACAGGGATCTAGGGGGACATTATCAGGTTGCAGGACACCCCCAGGGACATAGGATTCATTCATAAGAGCCCTGTGCAGCCCTATCAAGAAGCAAAGTCCAAAGATAGCAGGGGAAAGAAAGACAAGGATAAGACCTGCCTCCCAGCCTTCCTGGCCCCCACAGAGCCTGGCAAAGAGCACAGATTTGAGTCCAGGTTCTGTCACATAACAACTGTGCATTCCTGGGTAAGTCCTTTGCCATCTCTGAGCCTCAGTTTCTCATCTGCTGAACAGGAATTATAAACATACACATCTCATAGGGCTGTTTGCCAGTTAAGTGAGACAATGCATGTAAAGTGCTTAGCACAGCAAACAGCACTTACTAAAAGCTCAGTGACTCATATGGTTATTTTTACAATTGATACTATTATTATTGTTTTCAGACCAAAAAAGGGAAATCCTATTTGGCTCTCAGGGACCTCTGTGTGGTCCTGCTGAATGGAAAACGTCTGGAGGTGAAATGTGACATTGAGTCAACAGTGGGAGCTGTCTTCAATGCTGTGATGTCTTTTGCCAACCTTGGGGAATTCACCTACTTTGCCTTGGCTTGCATGAAAGGTAAGCATCTTCTGGGGAGTCCACAGTTGACCTTCTGCCTTCAGTAACCACAATGTCTGGATACCTGAGTTCTATTCCTTCTGGGAAAACTGCTCGAGACTAGGGCATATCATTTTGTACACCTAGGCATTAGTCAGCATGGTGAAGCCCTCCAGACCTTGTATAAGCACTAGAGGCATCAAGTAAGTACAGAAGATTATCATAAAATAATGAATGTTGGATGTTGTAGGTTTCTGTGACTTGCTGGACCTGATTGATCAGCCTCAGGGCACTGAAATCAGACAAGCGAATGTTAAATACATTTCCATCTAATCATACAGCACTAATGGGGAGTCAGCATGCCACCTCTGGAACCCAGACTAAGGTTCCTTATAAATATCCAAGAGAAAGTGTTTCTACACCTTCTTTCTTCTCTGCCCTTCTTTATTTTCATTGTTAGTTTAAAAATAACAACAGAGACAGGCTCTCCAAGGATGAGTTTATCTGGGAATTATTAGGACATTGCAATCCAGGATATGCATGCTATAGCAGACTATAGGTGCATCTGAGGTGGTTGGGGGCAAGGGGAAGTGTCTAAAGACAGAAGAGGGAAGTACATGGAAGTTGTTTTGAAACAAAAATAACATTGGTTACAGGGGCTTATTTCAGGAATTGACAACAGTTCAGTGGAGACAGACTGTAAGGCAAGTATTCTTGTGTCAGTGACCAGCTGTCCTTGTGCTGCTAGCTGTTCTTGTGTGTCTCATGTAGCAAGTTTCAGTTTGGAAGAAATGTCCTTTGGTATTTTTTGGCATAAGCATAGTGTGTGAGTGTGCCTCCCTCATGCTTTATTAGAATTAAGCAGAAGTGTCTTCACTTTGGTATTAATAACTTTCATATTTCCCCCTTTTGGTCAAAATCTTTCTCTGAAAGCATCACTGATCAATGATCCTGCAGTCAGGTTTTCACTGTTCTTTGGTGTGAGAATGGACCTGTCCTGGTTGATCTGGTTCCACGTTGAAGGGAAATGGCCAGCAACTCTAAGTTGAAACCTTTTTAAGCCTCACTTGAGCAACACAAAGGTTCAGAAGGAGTGGCTTGCAGACTAAGTCTATCTGGAGTTCATAGTTAAGTTCAGTTTAGTTAGTTTTGTAGGTGTTTGCTATCATTTTGAAGTGCTGGGCCCGCACTAGGTGTTTTGATGAACTCTATGTAGCCCACACATGAGGCAGGAGACTTGTCTCTTGAAAAGTACATCGAGTGATCCAGGTTCAGGTTACAGGGCTTCAGGAGCAGAATGACTTATGTTCTTAGTTGGAGAGCTATAGTCAGATACTGAGAAAATAAGAATTCAAGGTCCAGCCCAGCATAAAGTTAGATAATAAAAACAATGACTAGGACTATAATCTCATAACAGGTATACTCTAGTTTTTCTTGAAAAAAAAAAAAATATATATATATATTTACCCCATTTTACTAAAAAGAATAAAAGTAAGACTAATTTGTTAGCAAAATAAGTTTAGCCTCATTAGACTTGACTTAATTATTTACGTAAGTGCAGGAAGAATAGAGATTGACCACATAGGCTCTTTTTAATCTTGTTTTGCTAGGACTTTTGATAAGACATCTCAGTCTGGACTTTTAAAAGCCTCTCAAAGCTAGGAAGCCAAAGCAAGACAAACTTAGGATTTTTGCCTACAGTTCTTATAACCTTACTTTATATATGTTTTCAAATATGACATCCAAGTCAAAGCCTTGGTAATATAACCAATTTTAATAATTGTATCCTGTTATAAAGAGAGCTAATTCTTATTGAACTTATGCAAATAACTATATTGTCATACAAATAAGAACACTTATGAGTAATTTTAAAAATTCTATAGGGATCAGGTAGGGAGAAAAAAACAAATGTTTTAATTTTGTTCACAAGAGGACACTTCATCAAGTTGTTGTAAATTGTACATAGCATAAAAGGAAAAAGTTTCCTTAAATGTAAAAAACAAAAAATTTAAAGATCCAGCAATATTTCAGGTAGAAAAATTATAAAACCCATAATTCTTTTTTATCAGTTCATTCAACTCATGGAATTAATTCTTGTTCTGCTTAATCTTGGTTAGCAGTTTTATAAACCTATCAGTTTCTTCATTAATATTCTGGTAATGTTTTCCCAGTCCAATGGTTTGATCTTAATATTATCAGAAACCTGTACTTTTCAGAGTTCTTTCCATCATTTCCATGAACATCCTTGAAGAAAAGGCAGTGTTACACTATAGCTGATTACAAATGCTTTTAGAGAAAAATTAAAACAATAACTTTTTGTGGATGACACAGAGTGAAAATGGCCATGGTTAAAAATCTAATGAGAATTCATTATAACCAGCAATTGACAAGACCTTTGGTTATTCCTGTTATCTACAACATTTTAACATAGTAACCAAAATTATGACTGATAACATTTGTATCAGATTTCTAAAAATGTAAAATTTTTAGAGCACTTATATCAATAATGTATTTGTAAATGTATCTTAAAGAAGATTTAGCATTATTTATTTAATAATATTTCCCATACAATTTAACATCTCAAGTAATCCTGATTAAGTTAGTATATCTCTTTTACAAGGTGAGAGACACATCCTTTGGGGTTTCCAGGAGCCCAGTTGGAAAATTTAAAAGTTAGTTCAAGAACAAAAAGGCTTGATTTGAATTTGATTTTGGAAAGTTTTGCAAAAATATCAAAAGGTTGAAAACACTTGATCAGAATAGAATCACAGGTCACAGTGAAATAATATTTAACTAGAGTAATTGTTTAAAGCCTTCAAAAGGCAAATACAGAAGGTTAATTATCTTGATAAAACACAAAATTTTTGTTACTTAGGTCAATTATATAAAACGTAAATAAAAATATTTTACAATTTTTAAAAATTAAAAGCAGAGACTAATATTCCAGGAAAACCTTGTTATATTAACAAAGGAGACCAAATTATAGTTCTTCATCAATGCTTTTGATATCAAGGCCAAGTTTTAGAAATACATAAATTATTTCCTTCTAATTTTAGTCACACAAAAAGTTTGATCACACAAAAATTCTTTTAATAAGATTCATCTTCCATAGGCTTTTACATTTTTCTTATTCACTTAGCTTTATCTATGTCACTTTTCACTTTACTCATTCTGAACCAACCTTTAAATAATCTCCAAAGACAAAATTACTTTTTTTTTTTTTGAGTTGGAGTCTCACTCCGTCGCCCAGACTGGAGTGCAATGGCCGCTCCCGGCCACCGCAGCCTCGACCTGCTGGGCTCTGGCGATCCTTCCACCTCAGCCTTCCGAGTAGCCGGAATTACAGGCATGCACTACCACGCCCGGCTGATTTTTTGATTTATTGTAGAAATGAGGTCTCGCTGCCCAGGCGGGTCTCGAACCCGCGGGCTCAGGCAAGTCACTCATCTCAGCCTCCCAAAGGCGCGGGATTACAGGCTGAGCCACCGAGCCCGGCTTCAAAATTACTTTTTTTAAAACAAAAAATAAAAACACATACTTACACCTTTTTTTCAGTAGTGGGAATCTGCTGAAGGCGGGGGGTGGGGGAGATGCCTCAGCAACAAGGGTACCTGCATAATGAATATTTGTATACCTAACCTTGAATTGTACCCCACGTCTTTAAAATAAAAAACTTATATATATATATAATAAACTTCTCACTATCATACTTTTTTGTACATTTTGTATACAGAATTACAAATATTAATTTGAATTTTTAACTTTTAGTAACCTTCATTTCCAGGGAAAACTAGAAATTAAGAAAACATAAACTACTTTTTACAAATTTGTGAATATGTTATTTCATGATTTTTAGAAATATATGCTTCCTCATTACATAATTTTTTAATGTGGCATAGGACATGCTTATTAACACATCCAAGAATCTTTTGTTTCTCTGCAATAAGAAGGCAAAAGTATACAAGTTTAAATTTATGTTCAGCAATTAATGTTGCAGCATTATCTCTTATTTGAGAATGATCTATTCAGTAAATATCAATAATTCAATTTAAGTTAGTATAACTTTAAGGCTTTAGGTAGCTAAAAAAATTTTATAAACTATTTTTAAGTAGATATATCTTATAAAACATAAGAATTGTTGAAAAGCTCATTTATAATTTGTTATCCCACTTACATTTACATTTATTAATTTACTTGAATTTAATAATAATGTTTGAATTGTTCCCGAAAACTTCATTAGACATTAAACAAAGTGAGTCATTATCTAGTTATTTTTCATTAGTAAGTCAGGCAAGTATCAAAAAAATCATAAAAACAAAGAACCCAAAAGTTAAAACATATGACTATTTTTAGTTCTATTTTTGTTCACTATCTTATTTGACGCACATCAAGCAATTTATTTTTATTGTGTTTTTCTTAGATTGAACTTATAATTTTACCATCTTAAACATACATATGATTTTGCTTAGTAAATCCAAAAGTACTGTTATGTTTCATGTTGACAGCTCTCCACATATGCTTGTTTTAATCAAATTTAAACTAGCTTTCATATTTACCAAAAATTATGCCAGATCACCTGAACTTAAAAAACATTTAGGTAAGTTTCTATTTTTCTGAAAAAATACTTAATGTTTAAAAGTGTTTATTTTCTTCTTTAAGCCAAATCTTCCCACAAGTACCAACAGGACAGTTATTTAGGATGAGAGCTCTCTAAAAAAAATACTTTTAGATACAAAAGTCCAAATCTCCAAAGGCATACCCACTTCAGTTGTGACTCAAAACCAATAGTTTTTTATGGCTTACCCATGGATGCAAAAGACACCCTCACAGGGGCTGGAAAAGACTCGGTTCCCCTCAAGATCCAAAATTTTTCCTAGAGATAGTCTAAAAAACAAAATAAGAAACAAAGACCTTCACTGTTAAAAAGATAACAAAGGTGAAGACAACTGAGACAAATTCCTGAGAGCTGGCATAGTGGGACAAAGAGACACTTTGTGTTTTAGACTCCTAGAAAGTTGGCT